TTTCTTAAATAATAAGACTTGGATGTCACAATTTACTCCTTGATCCACAGGCTGCAGAATGGATGATGTGTTAGCAGCATTTTAACAACATTAATCTTCTTGTCCATCTCCATCAGAACTCTTGTGTGACCAGGTGCATTGTCAATGAACAGTGATATTTTGAAAGGAATCTTTTTTTTTTTTTTCTGAGTAGTAGGTCTCAACAGTGGGCTTACAATATTCAGCAAACCATGCTGTATACAGATGTGTTGTCATCCAGACTTTGTTGTTCCATTTGTAGAGCACAGGCAGAGTAGAGTTAGCATAATTCTTAAGGGCCCTGGGATTTTCAGAAAGGTAAATGATCATTGGCTTCAACTTAAAATCACCAGGTGAATTAATCCCTCACAAGAGAGTCAGCCTGTCCTTTGAAGCTTTAAAGCCAGTCGTTGGCTTCTCTCTAGCTAGGAAAGTCCTAGATGGCATCTTCTTACAATATAAGGCTGTTTCATCTACATTGCAAATATGTTCTTTAGTGTAGCCACCTTCATCAGTTCTTAGGTAGATCTCCTGGATAACTTATAACACCTTCTGCATCAGCACTTGCTTCACCTGGCACTTTCATGTTATGGAGGCAGCTTCTTTCCTTAAACCTCTACTAACTTCAAACTCTTCTTCTGCAGTTTCATCACCTCTCTCAGTCTTCATAAAATTGAAAAGAATTAGGGCGTTGCTCTGGATTAGGCTTTGGCTTAAGGGAATCTTGTGGCTGGTTTGATCTTCTATCCAGACCTCTCAAACTTTTTCCATATCAGCAATAAGGCTGAAGGCTGTTTCACTTTTTTGTCAGTCATGTGTTTCCTGGAGTAGCACTTTTACTTTCCTTCAAGAACTTTTCCTTTGCATTCACAACCTGGCTGTTCAAGAGGACTAGCTTTCGGCCTGTCTTGTCTTTCAACATTCCTTTCTTACTAAGCTTAATCATTTCTAGCTTTTGATTTAAAGTGAGAGACATGCCATTCTTCCTTTTACTTGAACACCTGGAGGCCATTGTAGGGTTATTAATTGGCCTAATTTCGATATTATTGTGTCTTAGCACAACTCAGGACCCTGAGGTGTCTCATGGAGGCCCAAAGAGAGGCAAAGAGGAGGAAAGGATGGTCAGTGGAGCAGTCAGAATACACACGTTTACCAACTAACTTTCTCCTAAAAATCAAAGACCACTGATCACAGATCACAACAGCTGTTAAAATAATAATGAAAAAGTTTGAAATATTGAAAGAATTATGAAAATATGACACAGAGACATGAAGTGAGCACATGCTGTTGGACAAATGGTGCCAATAAACTTACTGGACACAGGCTTGCCACAAACCTTCCATTTGTTTTAAAAAAAAAAAAAAAGAAAGAAAGAAAAAAACAACCAACACACATCATCTGTGAATCACAGTAAAGTGCAATAAAATAAGGTATGCCTGTGTCTCCTCTTTAGTGGAGAAGGTGAGATTTTGCTAATGCAACTAGAGAACATTCCATACACAAGCAAAAAAGAAAAGAAAGTTTGAGTATGGGATGAGACTAACAGATCTAGGGAACATTTGCACATGAGATTAAGTGGGAAGGCAAGAGATTATTTGAACCACCAGTAAACATCAAAACCAAAAGAGATGAATGGATTGTAGACTTTATCTAAAGCAAAGTGGGATATGACATTCCTAAAGTCTTATTAAGCACCGTTCTGCTTACTTACAAACATTATTTCATTGAATTCTCATAACAATCCTATGAAATACATACTATTATTAATTTCATAATATACCTAAGGAAACTGAGGCACAGATAAGTTAAATAACTTGCTCAAGGCCATTTGCTTATTAATAAACAGGAGATAAGCAAATCCCAGGGATTTACACCCAAGCAATGTTTTTCTATAATCTATGCTCTTAACCACCTTCGTGTGCTGCTCACAGATAGTCAAAGCCCTGATGTATATGCCATTTTGAGGTTTTATGGTACACTTTTTCAGTTTTTCTATACAAGTCAGTGTATAGGGAAGCCCCTTAAAGAGGCTAGAATGGTGACATCATTACTCACTGATACGTAGCATTGTAAGTCCCAGTTAGGTTTCAGGAGACAGGATCTGTGCACTGCAGACAGATCTTTTTAATAAGCTTTGTCATTACAGAATGTGAATATATTTGTTAGTTGCAGTCTTAACACAGTACTCTGGTATTATTGTCACATGAAATTATAAAACCATTCTCAATAGGCATGTGCATGGTAACTTTATTAATCTGAGTCATTCACCGAAAAAAAAATATTTCTTGAGGGCCCCTGTTCTAGGGGTTGCAGATACTTTGTGAAGAGAGTAGTTCCTTCTCTACAGATTGTCCATGGATTTTTTCTTATGAGCTTCTTGTTATTAGCTTATGAACTGCCATTTCTCCCAACTTAAGAAGAAAAACAAAAATCAAAAGAAACTGCTCTTAGCTATATATCTCTTTTCAACTAACTGACCCATATCTCTTTTCTTATATATATCATAACCCCTAGGGAAAAAAAAAAAAAAAGTCTTATGTTTTTCTTTACTTTCGCCACCAGACCTCACCCAGCTCTGGACTCAAATTTTAACCCCCTGCCTACTAATGTCTCCACTTAATTCTGAGAGGCACTTCAAACTTCCAGAACTGAACTCCTAATCTTCTTGCCCAAGCCTGCTCCCCAGCACTCGCCCCATCCCTGTAAGTGGGGATCCTATCCTTCTCCCTGCTCAGGCCAAGAACTCTGGCTTCATCCTTGAGTGCACTCTTATTCTCATACCGCACCATCTGCTCTATCAACAAATCCTGTTGGTTTTACCCTCAAAGTCTATCCAAAATCCAACCATTTCATCTTACCTTTACTATCCCAACCCTAATCTACATCCCAGTCGTCTTGTTGCCAGCCATCTTCCTGCTTCCTTCACTGGCCACCCCACCCTCACTGTCTACTGTCAACACAGCAGTTAGAGTGATTCTTTTAGGGCGTCAGAATATATCTCCTACCTAACAGTATGTTCAAGACTTTTTTCATCCAACATGCAACAATATGGATGAATCTCATACACATGATGTTGACTGACAAAAGCCAGAAGCAAAAAGAGTATATACTGTATGATTACATTCATTTCAAACACACACACACACACACACACACATACACACACACAAAACAGGTAAAAGCAAATCTATACTCTTAGAAGTCAGAATAGTGATTTAGGGGGCAGGGAATTGATTGTGACTGGAAGAGAACACCAGGAGGGCTGGTCTTTTCTATTTCTTGACCAGGTGATGTATGTTCAAGTTTATGAAAATTTAGTAAGCTATACACTTATGATGTACCCTTTTCTTGATATACGTTATACTTCAATGAAAAGTTTTAGAAAATTGTTATTTCTCACATAGAAAATCATTCCCCATTTCTCACATAGAAAATCAAAGAATTTATCAGCCATTTATAACCATTAGAATAAAAGCTCCATGTGGGCAAAAACCTTATGTGCTTCCATTCACTCAACAAATATTTATCGAGCATTAGGCATTGACCTAGGCATTTAGGATGCAACTGTGAACATGAGAGACAAAACCTTCTTGAGCTTCTGAGGGATGATAATCAGAATAAATTGCATAGCACAGAACAAAGGCCGTAAAGAGGCAGAAAGCAAGAGAGGGAGATAGGGAGGGAGTGCAGAATGGAGGCGAGCAGGGGACAGCATTTTTAGCCATAGTTTTATTTAAAAGTAGCAGTTTTAAATAAGTGAGAAAAGGCCTTGTGGCAAAGGTGGCATCTGGGCCAGCACTTGGAAGGAGGTAAGGGAGGGAGCCCTGTGTATGTCTGGGAGGAGAAGCAGCTCCTGGGCAGAGGGAACAGGAAGCAAAGGGCCTGAGGCAGGAGCAGGCTGGGTGTGCACTAGCAAGGAGGCAGTGGAACTGGGGAGGAGAGAAGGCAAACTAGTTGGGGATTAGGTCAGAGACATACCTGGTGGCAGATTGGGAAGGGGCCAGTAGGCTTCTATGAAGACTTTGGGGATGAGGGAAGGAGTTGGTTTTTTTTTTTTTTTTTTTTCCTTTTGGCCCAAGCTGTTTTGAGATAGGTTTCAGCTGGTTGTAGTAGCAGATCATTTATTTTCATTGCTGCAAATAGACTTCAATTTATTATCCATTCTACTATTGATAGATATTTAGGTAGTTTCCAGTTTGGGGCTTGCGACGAGGGCTACTATGACCATACTAGTGCATGTCTTTTGGTAAACTACTGTTTGCAAGGGATTAATTTTGAAGAAATTAAACAAGATATATCAATTTTTCTTATTTTGAGAAACTTGTGACATAAGATGTTAGTTCCAGTGAAAGTCAGGCAGTCAGTCAATACTCACGGTACACATTTGAAGTAAATTCTCAAGTATATATTTGGCTAAAGCAATAAAGTGTGCAAGATGGGGAATACAAAAATATGCCAAATAGATTACTTGCCCTCAAGGGCCCTAGAGTCTAGTTGAAGATAAGATATAAGTCTATGGAATGGAACAGCAACTAACAAGGACACATACAGGAAATGCCAAGTAATATCCTAGGCAGTTTGCCTCGTAAGCATTCTGAAGTGGGCAAGATCACTTTGGACTCCGGTGATATAAGATTTCACAGGGAAGCTGAGAATTCAGCAGAGCCTGAAAGCATACCTAGGATTTGGAAAAGCAGAGACGGACTTTGTAGACATTATCTGGGCTAGGGAAATGGCAAGGCGGTCAGTTTATATTTAAGGGGGCTATGGGTGGTTAGTCTGAGTAAGAGCAGAACTTAGGATTCATTTTAAAGCCTAGCGTTCAGATGGACGTATTTCTCAAGTACATAGTCGCATTCAAATCTGGAAATATTTATTTATATATTCCACATTTTGCATTCATTTGTATTAATGCCACATTTACCATTACTAAACCTCAAAGGTCATAAGGTCTAAATTTTTAAATATATATGTATTTTTAGACTGGCAAAGAAAATCCTTCCAGTGTGACTGTATCAGGCTGTGAGACGGAAAATAAGACAGGCCAGACTCTGGAGAACACCTCGTTAATGGCCGAGCTCCTGAGCGATGTACCCTTCACCCTGGCTCCACACGTGCTGGCTGTGCAGGGCACCATCACCGACCTTCCTGACCACTTACTCTCCTATGATGTCAGCAAAAACTTATCACGATTTTGGTATGATTTCACTCTTGAAAATTCAGTGCTCAATGCTCTGTGATTCACAATATTTATGTCTGTGTGCACCTTAACAGCTTTAAAAGTCTGCCTCCTTTATTTAACCTATTTGATGCTCTTTACCATTTCACTGTTTAAAGGCCCTCAGCAAAGCAAGGAGCATAAAGCAAAGAAAATATCATTATGCTTATTGCTATGTTTTTTAGAATAAGGTACATTTGTATAATAATTGAACTTCAGTTCTACTTCCTTTCTCCCACATAATATAAAAATTAGGCTGTGAAGGTTTTCTGAAAAGAGTAGATTCCTTCAGCCGGTCTCTCAAACTGTAACACCTCAGGTTTATCTTAGAAGAACTGTGAAAAAGAACTGTGGCATTTTTTCATTACCACAGCTCTGAAGTCTAAGCTCCAAGTGAGTGTGAAGTCACTTCTCTGGCTTGAAGGAAGCTCGAATTCATGTTATTCCCTTTTTTCTTCCAGAGTGTTTATGAATGAATTCAGAAAAAAAAAAATTGCCAGTTAGTTATATTTCTTCAGTCTCACTTTAGACATATTGATGTGGAAATTTAAAACTTTCCCTAAACAGCAATGGTAATTTGCTGATACAAGAATGCTATAACTGCTCTGGATGCTGTTTCATGAGTAGCACATTTTCTTTTTTTCAAACCCATCGCAACCCTTTTTCACCTTGGGTGACTCCTGTTTTGCTGCCTTTGTTCTCTACCTTTTTGCTACTTCAGAGTATGCTCTAAGACCAGCTTTCCAAAGGACTTACCCCGCTTTTGCCTCGGTTGGCATTTGCTCTCCTTACCACATATGTTCCCAGTTTATGAAGAAATCCATGTTTCCTTTTCAACCTCTCTGCCTTCTAAAGAAAAACATCTCATGATCATACATATTATTGATGATAACACCCTTATTTAGAAATCTGTTGGCCACAATACAGATGGAAATGTTCTACTGCTCGAAAAACTGAAATTGACTCATTTCCAATTAGAATGTAGGCAAAAACACCTACATATGACTTTTAGTTCTTGAGTATTTATTATTTATTCCAACTAAGACAGAACTGCCATCGGTCAATAAACCGTAAAGGGAAGAGGTAAATTGTGATACAGACTGTTCTATGCCATTGAAAATTTAAATCACATTTGTTTCAATTACCAGCAACATGATTTATTAATTCTGTGCCAAATTTTAAGTATATTTTTTCACAAAGATAGAGTGCCATAGTAAAACTAAACACTGTGCATAAAGGTACATGAATTATTCAAGTTTTAATGTGTTATGCATGTTTGTTTAATAAATGTGGCATGGTCTTGATAAAAATGCTGTATTATTTAAAAGTTGAACATTTCTGTTGACAAAAATATGCTTCATTTACAAATAATGTTACCATATGAGGTTAATGATTAAATTAGATCTTCACATAATTTTTTCATAAAACATCAGTCTTAGAAATACAACTTATTATCGAGACAAATGTGAACATTTTGTAGCAGTTTTGTGAAAGTACATTCTTTTTAAATATCCACCTTACTGTATCCTTAAAACTAAATGTAAGCATATAGTCAATTTGTCTAATTTATATGTTAGATTTTGTCTAAAATACTTGTACATTTCATTAATATTTATGTCTACCATATTATAAATGTGCTTATAAGTACCTTCATTTGTCTCTAAAAATTGTTATATTTAAATAAATGTGAATTAAAATATTTTGATTATTTTCAGTCCAGAAAAATGATTTTTCTTTGCATTATTCATATCTGAATGCAAGTTATTGATTCTTTAGAAGGCAGAGATTTAAGTATATAATTCAGAGAAAAATATTGAATTTCCTCTTGTGAGTTTTAAGGAATAATATCGAAAATGGTAAGATCACTAGACTTGGTTTATTGGGACTAGAGGAATTTGAGAGAAATGATTTGAACATCTCTAGATAGATCCCATCATCACAAAATTTAGTAGGGGCCAATGTTAATGACCTTTTTAAAACAAAAATGTTGTGAAAATGACCATTTAAATTTTCTTATCCTGAATATAAATCAGTGTTACCACTTTAAAACTGAAAGAAACATTGGAAATCAATAAACCAACTCCATTTTACTCAAGAGAAAATTGAAGGCTAGAAAGGTTAAATTACTTAAATCACCTAGTTAATAATAACTGTTTGCTTTAGGAGTGTTAGTAATTATAATGTAAATTATAACAAAGGTGTATGATATGATGGGAAACAGTTTGGGCATTTGAGCCAACCAGCCAATTTTAATGGTCTCTCACAAGCTATGGGGCTTGTAAGTCCCTAACTTCTGATATCCTCAAGGTCCCCAATTGTTAAGTACTAATAGTCCATACCTTGAAACATCATCAGTGTTCTGGGAAAAGGACTGTTACAATTCTCATTAATAACCACACACACACACAATAGTCTAATGAAATGGAAAATAGATATTAATTGAACAACTTAAAGCATAACATAAAAAATAGCTGCCTACCTTAATTGTAGATCCCCTCTGCCCCAGTATTTTTTTCTGTATTAAATACCTCACTATGAAAAATATTTCTAAAGTATGTTAGTTGACTCTTCTGCCTTAACTAAGAATTCTTTAGTAAACACTTTTTGTCTTTATCTTATCAAGGATTATTGTCCTTTTCCTTAATACATTATTGTAAAGTACTGTAGATACAGAATGTACAAGTGATTTTACTGAATCTTATTTTTTGGCGCTAAAATCTATTCAGGAAGTTGCATGTATGTTCTTCCCATTTACATTCTTTATGTAATGGCATTTACATTAATGGCATTTACAATCTTTCCTAAAAAAAGAATTAGACAATTCTAACCAATTTGTTATTCTGGTTATTACATTTTGATTAACTGAACTTTTAAATTTTTACCACTAAAATGTTAACAAAGCCACAATTTTTGTTAACAATTCTAGAAACCCACAGTATTTTCAAAGTAAACGTTCATTGATACAAACACTTATTTTTGCCTTTCTTAGAGTAAAATGATAAATTGAAAATAGCATGAAAAAAAGCTCCTTTAAGATTCCCAGAGACTCCATTTCCTATACTTCTAAAGGACAGGTGAGGAGAACCAAGGAAATAATCTCCATATTCTGAAACAGTGGTACATCAGACTTTACGCCTATACCTCCCACAGTTACAACTGATCAATACATGAACACTGCCCTCAGTAATCCAGCAAAGAATATGTTACTTTCAGAAATTAATGCATTGTCTTATTAATCATGTCATTAATAACATCCACATGAAATATAAGTTTATTGGATAGGTGGTTGAAGGCTGTTCTCTCGAACCTATTCTCAAGCCACTGAGAAATACAGGTTTGTGAACATCATCTTTTTGAGCATTTGTGCCATATTGCTGATAACATGACCTAAATATTATTGGTAAATCTAAAACTTTCAGAGTAAATCTAACTCCATTCATACATTGGCTTGAAAGAGGAAGTATTGTTATGTTTCAGGAAAATGACTTTATGCCATAAGGTTTGGTGGACAGGTGTGTGTGAGAAAGAGAAAGAGATGTATTGATTGAGGCATAGAACTCTGTTACAGTCAACATGTTAATCTTTTTTAAAATTTAAGTAAACGTTTTATTTTGGAATAGTTTAGATTTGCAGAAAAGTTACAAAGGTAGTACAGTGTGTCCCCATATATCCCTCACCCAGTTTCCACTCTTGACATCTCATGTTACTAGGGTACATTAAGGAACAAACATTGGTACATTGCTATTAACTAAACTCCGCACTCTATTCAGATTTGATAGTTTTCCTCTAATGTCCTTTTTCTCTTTTAGCATCCTATCCAGCATAGCACATTACATTTAGTCATCCTGAATCCTTAGCTCCTCTTTCCTTCAGCAGTGTCTCAGACTTCTTGTTTTTGATGACCTCGACAGTTATAAGGAGTACCGTCAGATATTTTATAGAATGTTTCTCAAGTGGGGTTTATCTGATGTTTTCGCATGGTTAGACTGGGGTTTTGGAGAAATACTTTAAAGGTGATGTGCCCTTCTGTGAGGTCATATCATATCAAAAATATATGCTATAAACAGGACATTACGGCTGATGCTAAGGCCAAGGTAGTATTTCCCAGGTTTTTCCACTATAAAGTTATACTCTCCAACCTTTTATACTCTACTCTTCAAAATTAAATCACAAGGCACAGCCCACACTTAAGGGGTGGGGAATTAAACCCCACCTCCTCGAGGGGCAAGTGTCACATAAAATTATTGAAAATTGAAGGCTTCTACATGGGAAATTTGTCTCTTCTCCCCAATTTATCAATTACTTATTTATATTAGTATGAATGTATATTCTTTTTTCCAAGTCTAAATCAGTGATACCCAAGAGACATATTTACATTTTTATAAAAGTTGATAAAGAAAATTTAGAACATTTCACATGGTGCAGATGAATACCATTTGATGTTGGATATGATAATATATTCTATGATTTCCTCAGAATTCATCTTCCTATAAATAACAGGCATGTTTCTCCTTAGCTTGCCCTGATTGTAACTGTGAGACCTTCCTTGCAGGGCTACAAGTATTGTATTGTAAGTGCACCCAGCTTAGATACTTGGTCTTTTCCTACCTCATTCCTAAGATGGCTGCATCTTATACATAAGGCCATTTTTCAGCAAGTGGTACGGAGATGAAGTGATACTGTAATTATCTTCCTCTTTAAAAAATCAAGAAAACTTATGAGACAAAGATCTCTTCTCTGTAATAGGTGAGACTCTTTTTAGCAATAGCAAAAATAAAGTTGTATCTCCTTAGAGTTCATTTGCAACCTTTAAAAAGGAGTTTAAGAAGTAGTAAAAAGAAATTCAGTGTTCTTTTGGAGGGGAAGGGTGCCCAAGAAACTCTTAATTTTACTTCTGATTAACAAAAACGTAATGTGTGCTAAAACAAAGTTGAAGTCATCCAATTTCAATCGGGAAAGAGACAATCAATCAAAGCAAAAAGCATCTTATTTTGTCCTTGGAAGAAACCTAAATGTGGTTCTTTGTCAAGAATTTTCCAGTCCCAATTTTCACCCTTGCAAAGGAAATAGATTCCTTACAAAGGTAAAGCAAAGGATAATTGCATCCAGAACCCATCAAGTAGGCTAACTCTGAACCCACCCCGACAGACAGCTTATTAGTGACTACCCAGGCCAGAAAGGCAGTCAGACAACAGACCATTTCAGAGGTCACTTAAGGAGACAGGCTCCAACTTAGAACTGCTGCCAGGGATGTACAATCCAGTGTCTGACATCTGGGTTCTGCAGTTGCCAAGTCTGCCCCTTGTGTGGCCACAGGTGTTGGCTCTGACTCTGAGGGGTATGGAAGCAGCAACAGAGTAATGTCAATTTCGTTGTGTTTATGTGTATGGCTTTTCTTTTGTTTTTCAAAAGGTACATAATTTATTTCATTTTAAAATTAATGTATTTCTACACAATAGCTAGGAACATTTGGGAAGCTAGTGAAGCAGCAGCTTTTGTTCAAGAACAAGAGCAAAACAAAGATGAGTTCTTACACCTACAGGGTATACTGTACACTAACACGCTGTGTATGATATTGTTAACTTAGTCGTTTGAATAGTCTTTCTCGTTTGAATAGGCCTTCTCAGGACAAAAAAAGCAATCAGTGGATGCTGAAAAGCAAACAGGAAGTTGGTCTAAGATAAAGGCTAAATACTCGATCTTTCCCTTTAGTCTCTCCTCTCATCCCTGTTTTGGATCTTCAGAAGAACGTTTGTTTATCCATACATAGTTTTCAGCCTGGAACAGACTATATGTAGTCTTCTATCTTACACTATACCAGCTGTAGCTATCAATTAACACGGCTTAAAACAGGAACACTAAACTTTTCTCTTTCCCTTGCAGGAAACTTAGCTCCTGTTTGTGAGGAAAATCTGGAAGTTTCTACCTCAGGTAGCTATTTGAGTTTTCTAACCCTAAAGAAGTAGACAGCAGTAAAAGAATAAAGGTGATTAACAGAATGGAATGACCCTGGTAAGAACTGTAAAGACACAATAGTCAATAGAATTTTTAAAAAATATAGGTCTGCACCTACATAATTAAATATATATTTCTTCCTTGTTTTGCTTACCCCATAGCCTGAAAGTAGAACTTGTATTTAATGGAGTAAGAAGGAATCTTCTCATTTTATCTTTATATTGAATCTCTTCTAAAGAGAAATGCTTGAGCCGTTAGGCGAATGTCTGTCCCGCTTTGAAAACTAACGTGCCCTACGATGTTTTGTCACTGTGTCCTCCATATATTCCACCAGCCAAGATTTTTGACAGTTTTTGTTTTGTATTTGCTATTACAAAGATAATAGGTAAATTGAATATGCTTTTTCAAAGATTAACCCCACCCCCATTTAAGAATCTATGCTCTCACGGAAGTTCTTTTGGACTTGTGCTTAGCACATAATAAATCCTCAATCAGGATTTGTTGAATGAATGAACCAGTGATATAAATCATTAAATCATCTGTAAATGAGATTTCCCAAAAGCAAAGGAATTGAATTTCAAAACTTTTATAGTTTCTCCAGCCTCATCAAGAGCTGTATTTGCATAGCTGAAAATAATGCTTAGTTTACCAAGCCTCTACAAATTGTGCCTTTTATCTGTTTGGGGTATTTTCCATGTTTCTCAGATTGTGTTTTCCTCTGCCCATAATGACTATGTATTTCCTCATGATGAATAAGAGCTGATTCTAGA